TATATATATAGTATAAGTTATATACTAAGGATTAATATCTAAATATATAAAGAACTTCCAAAAATCCAAAGAAAAAATTGGAGTATCCAATGTGAACTGAACCCCAGTCAGCACCCCAACAGCAGGTGATGAGGTTTCCTTTGGTTTCCAGAAAGCTGCTGGGAAGCAACAGGACGAGCTCAGGAACATGCAGGCCTGGTGCAGACTGGCCACTTGGTTCAGCCTGGGACCGCAGCTGCTCCTTGCCCTCGTGGACCTCCCACGAGGGAGATCTCATTTCCGGGGCTGCCATGGTTGGGATCTTGTGAGGGTTGCTGAGCAAGGGTCCAGGCCACGTGGTCTCTGTTGCACTGTGATCTGCATGTGACACAGAGAGCTGTGGGGGAGGATCTACGACAGAGGTCAGAAATGTATCACCATGCTGGGGATCCCACCTGTGCTGCTGAGAGATGCCAGTGACTCAGCCTGTGTCACACAGGCTGCACGCCCCAGGGACAGCTGTAGAGTGGCCTGGGGACACTGGAGAAGGAGAAAGAAAGCCAAGCACAGATCATGGCTGAGTTGGGACAGCAGCGCCCATGGAATGCGAGGAAAGAGCACACTGTGAAGGGCAGGTGCTCAGACAGGGTGAATGAAGACCCTACACAAGAAGGTGACCTGCAGGATTCAGATGTTTGTAGAGGGAAGCTGGGCTGCCCTTAATCCCCACACTGTTTACACCCCAGATCTGGCAAACATGCCATACTTAACCCCTGAGGGACGACACAAGCACCACATTAGGCTTGGCTCCACAATCTACACCTAACCTGGCCCACCGTCAGGAGCCAAGCTATCCTAACTCCCTTCTCACTGGCAGAGGGAGCCAGCAAGGAAGATGTTCACAAGCCAGTGAAGGTCACTAGATATTAGTAAAAAGAAGAATCTTAATATAATATTCATATAAGAATATTAATAAATATTAGTAAAAAGGTTACTAAATATTAGTAAAGAGAACAATTCAACAGAAAGCAATAACAGTTATAAATATATATGAATCAAATTCCAGGGCACCCCAGTTCATAAAACACTACTGGGGGCTGGGGATTTAGCTCAGTGGTGCCACTGCCTGCTTCACAAGCACAAGGTCCTGAGTTTGAGAAAAACCAAAAATGAGAGAAACATTTTGAAGCCAGATTGAGCAGGTTATTGAGACAGAAAGAAACAGAGGCCCGGTCCCAGTTAGGCACCTAGAACCAGGCTCTGACAGTGCCATGGCTCAGTGAGTTGCAGGTATGGGCGATGTGCATGACCCAGTGTGATCTGAGGAAGGAGAGAAGACACACAGCAATGCCAAAGTAGGCCCTCTGCCCCTGCTACCCAAACACTGGTGAGTTCTGTGCCCTCCACTACTCGCCGCTCAGACACAGCAGAACTTGTTATCCATCCAGGAACCATCCCATGCCAGCTAAAAGGTACCAACCTCTACAAGCCCTAGGTGCCACTGAGCTCACAAGCCAGACGGAGATTCTTTATGAATGCACAGAGAGAGCTGGAGAAGCATAATCAGAGGGGGCCATACTGCACACCCACCGAGAGTGGCAGAGAGAGAGCAGACATGAGCAGCTGCAGGGATTGTCATGAAAGGGAGTGGCAGAGGCTAAGAAGGCCCCTTTGAAAATCAGCAGAAGACTGGGTACTTGACCAGCCACACTGCACCTACTCACACACACACACACACACACACACACACACACACACACAGAGTTGAAGATATCTGTTCATAAGACAGAGGCCAAATATACCGTGGCTAGCGAGGCCCACAGGAGCACATCTGAAACCAAGCAGAGCTCTGCCTTTGGAGGAAACAGGAAGCAGGCTCAGTGGTCCATCCAGACCCCCAGGTCCTTTCACTCGATGGCAGGCAAGAGAACAGGTCACAGGAGGAAAACTAGTTCAAGCCGTGCGGGGCCACCCACGGAGGTCAGCTGCTCAGCTCCTCACAGTAGCGTCAAGTCAAAGGCTTTTCCTCTGTGAACACACTGGGAAGAGCACACTGGCCAAATGCCTGTTGCAGAATAAACAGGAATGTAAGGACACTTTTGCGTTTTTGCATGTGTGTGGTTAATTTTTTTTTCTTGTTGTTTTTCTTCTCCCTCTCTTTTTTCTTTGACTTTTCTACTTTCGTCTGGTTTATATGTGTGAGGTGTTTGTATATGTCAAATGGAGACTAGGAATTAATTATTGCTTAGCTCAATGAGTAACTTTCATGAGCAGGTTAAATTACCAAACATTTGCATGAAGGATTCGCACACCCGGTCACCATCACACATTACTCGGTTCCAGCCTTCGCACTGCTTCACTCGATCTCCAGTTGTGCTTCCCTCCCTTTTCGTTTTCTTTCCTATCGCTACTATTATCCTCAAATCCTCTCTCTACCAGCCTCCACTCCAGATACAAAATAATATCAAACTGAGAGAGTATTAAATAAAATAGGAAAACAGTAAAGGAATCAGCACTGGGAAACAATGCAATGACAAGGTTCAGTGAATGTCTTTCTGTGATAATTCAAAACGTAAATGCTTTTGATTCCTCCATCAACAGACACAGAAAAATAGGTTGGATCAAAAAAGACAATGCAACTACGTGGTGCCCACAATAGATACACCTCATCCACAAAGAAGCACATAAAACGGAAGAGATAGGATGGAAACAGATACTTCATGCAACAGGAGCCCTCATGCAAGCAGGAGCAGCCCTCCCATTTATAGACCGTGTACACTCCAAGCTAAAACTGATTGGAAGAGACAAAGAAGGTCACTAAATATTAGGAAAGTGAACAATTCAATAAAAATCAATAACAGCTGTCAATATATATAAACCAAATTCCAGGGCACCCCAGTTCACAAAACAAACACTACTGGGGGCTGGGGATTTAGCTCAGTGGTTCCACTGCCTGCCTCACAAACACAAGGTCCTGAGTTCAATCCCTGGTACAAAAAAAAAAACTTCTAGATATAAAAGGGCAGATCGACATCAACACAATCACAGTGTGACATATACCCACTATAATAGACAGGATGATGTGACAGAAATCAACAAAGAAATAGAGTTCAACCACACCATCAACCAAATAGACTTCGAAGATATCTACAGAGTGTTTTATTCAACAATCTCAAAATACCAGACATGGTGGTGCAGACCTATAATCCCAG